AGATTAGTTCTGTCCTCAGTTCTGATGATGGTTGAATAGGTGGGGAAGCAGCGGTTTCCCAAGATAACGATGAGATCGACATCAATATCCATACCCCTACGTGCCTCCGCACCCAGCAGCCTCCTCTCTTTCTCACTGGGTTTCCTTTCTTTTGGCTTTCGTTTTGTTTTTATTTCTCAGAAGTGAGTTGTCTTGTATTGAAAATTGAAATATTGTCATTTGCAAGTTGTTCTTCCTTAAGATTTTCAAACTCCACTGAATGGTCTGTTGTGAGTTTGTGACATAAGACACACTGGACGTGGAGCTGTTTTTCCCACTGGTGTTTCTACTGTTTGTGTCCCCGAACCACGGTGGTGGCCGTGCCTCATCAGCCGCTGCACGTGCGAGGCGCTGATTGCCTTTCTGTGCTCTGGAGGGGAACAAAGGGCTGCAGAAGAGCAGGCGGTGGAAGGCATCCCTCATTCCACCTTGCTGAGCCGCGTTCGGCCTTCATTCATAAAACAAGCTTGATGCGATGGAAAAATATTTTCTCAAAATCTATACTTGGGTGAAATGGTCACACTGAATTTTCAGGAAAGGTGTCATGGCCTGTTTTGTTTTGTAGTGAGGTCCCCCAATTGCATTGCTCCTTCCAACCTGAATTCAGAGCCCAAGTGCAGCCGCAGGAATCGCTGTTTCCTGAACGTAGGGAGTACGAGCACAGTCCGAGGCTGAAACCTGCACCTCCATCGACAGAAACCATTCCTCCGACTTTGTAGACTTCGAGCCGTGCGACACGAGCATAGCTGGCAGCGGCAGAGCCAGCTCTCCCCTTCGTGCCGACAGGACGGCGCGCTGCAGCCGTCTTTGCTGCTTGCGGGCAGGCAACCCCAGTGCGGGAGCTGCCCTGGTTATGTGGGGGTGTCATGCCAAAAGCGTGGTCCCACCCCAGGAGAAAACGCTGCTTTAAGAGCAGTGGAGTGTGCGGCTGCCGCATTGCACACCGCCTGCGTAGCCTTGTGTTCAGTTCGTTAGCTTTGTTAATAAAGTCACGTCGGTCCCCCAGAGACGGGACCTGACCTCTCCTGTTTCTGCCCCTTGGCCAGCCGGGAAGCACACGGCCAGCTCGCACCAGCTCTCTGCCCTGGTCACCCCGGCTGGGAAGTCCTACGAGTGCCAGGCACAGCAGACCATCTCCCTCATCTCCAGCGACCACCAGAAGTCTGTGCAGCTCTTGCTGTCGGAAGTGCGCATCCAGCCCTTTGACATCGCCGCTGATTTTGTCTTCAGTGAAGGTAAGGGGCAGGGCGAGGGCATGTTCTGCGTCCCCGAGGTGCTGACGCTGCTGTGGCCTTTGGGGGTGTCGCGATGTACTGAAGGAATTTAGATCCCACCTTTATCGGAGCACCTTCCCCTCCCTCCAGTGGGTTGTCAGGGCTCCCTGCAGTCCCTCCAACCCATTCCCTGCCTCCGTGGTCCCCCAAAAGCCTTTCTGGATTGAGCCCGGCTGCTATTTGGTCAAAACACGGGCTATCGTTGCATGTCTATTGGCTTCTGTAAGGGCACATCTCGCTAGGTTGCCAACGAGCCCCAGAGCTGCCTGGTCCCTGGGGAGCCCTGCAAGGCTTGGGTGTCTCCTCTGCAGCACGCAGGGTGCTTCGGTGCAGCTCATGGGGATTTTTCGGGCCGCTGGGCACCGAGGAAAGCTTGGGGCTGCGGTGGCAGGTGATACCTGCGATGCACATTGCTGGCTTCGGTTTGATTAATGCTCATTGCAAGGGGGAAGGAAGCGTAACAGGGACTTCAGCGAAGCCAGACACATGGGACGCCTCTTCTTATGTTCGACGTTAATTGTGCATAACAGAAAACGTGAGTTCACACGTGCTGTTCGTATCAAAGGGTTGTACTGAAGTCAGCAGCAGTGCTGCTGTGGGGCACAATTCCTGCAGGTTTGGCCGCCCTTTATCTTGGGGAGCCCATGGTGCTCCCCCTCGCCGGCTTCCCCCTGCCTCTTCCATCAGGTTGAATGGGGGAACCTAAAGATGCTCACCTGAATTAGGGCTTTGAGACCAGTCCCCTTTTTGTAGTGCCATCTTAGCAAGTTAGTTAACTCCATTATGGGAACAAGGCACAAATACAATTTGTAATAGCCAAATGTTTTAGTAACGAGTTAGAGAATGGTGGTGTTATTTTCAAGCCTAGCATTAAAAACATGGCGCTTTATTGTTTTGCGTGTGGGAAATATTTTGGAGCACAGTAAAAACCACTGCGCCGAGTACAGAGCTGAGCATTTACGCTCATGACTCACGTTCTCTAACTGATGTAGTAAATACATGCTATTATGTGTACTGGCTCCGGCAGCGCTCTGCGTGGCTGAATTACTCACGGCAAGGCCAGAGTAGTATGGAGTAGGTTTTGTCTGTGGGCACAAAATTTTTTTTTTTTCTATCGAAGTGGTACCACATTTTGCACAGGTGGTTACAGGGAGAAAAAGGTAGCGTTTAATACTTTCCCATCATTTTTTTGTTGGCACATCTTCATCCTCTCCCTGCTGCGGATCCGGGCTTCCTGCAGTCAGGGCTGGGCCGGGCAGACCTTGGGGGCTGAGAAAAGCGCGGTTAAACCTCGCAAGGCTGGGCTCAGTTTTAGCGGCTGTGTCTCTGTGACACCAAACTTGTCAAGTCTGAGAGCTTGCAGGTAAAACAACCCAACGCGGCGTTCATTGCCAAAGAGAACTACCTGCCTTTTTTATTACAGGCTCTTTCATATCAGGCAGTGATTTTTTTTTTTCCTTTGTTGTGTGGGTTTTTTTTTTGGTTTTGTTTGTTTTTTGTTTTTTCCTCCGGGACACAGAGAGACCCTGGTTGGTTTTAGCAATCTTTAAGCGTGTGTGGGCAATTCCTCCTCCTGAGGAAAGCGTGGTTTCTCTCTTTGTCAAGCTTTCTGGGTTTTTTGTTGTCGTTGCTGTCTTTATTCAATGCCACTTGTTTTTGTTGAATTCCCCTGGAAGTTAAATAGCAAGGAGCACCTGGAGAGAATGGTCAGAAATGCCGGAGAGGCCGTTTATCCGTGAAGCTTCACCCGGGGCTCGGCCGCTTCCACCACCGTCCCGTCCCCGCCGACCCTGCAGACCGGCGTGCCCTCGGCACACGCGTGGCACGACGTGATCCTTTGTGGGGTCTGAGGATCGCTGCCAATCTTAAATTACAGTAATTAGCCTTCTCTTTTTCGGTTCATTAATTTCCCATTAGGTAAAATGCCTATTAATTATGAACGAGCTCCAGAACATTTTGAAATGTTTGGGAATAGAGGAGGAGAGCTGCTGGAGCCCGAGGGTGGCCGAGGCGCAGGAGGGTCCGGGCGCTTTTACCTCCAGGAAAGGGTGGGAAAGGTTTTGTCAGCGGTCCTGACGAAAAAGGGACAGATGGAAAAGCTCGTAGGGAGTGATTGGATTGCTTTTATGGTCTCCAGTGCTTAAACTCCTGTGCTAGAGTATCTTTGTTCTTTTTTTTTTAAGACACTGCTTCCGACTCTCACAAATACATACATATACATATATATGAAAATATACGTAAATATATATATCCACCTTCTTCAATACAGAAGCAGCAGAACATTTTTTCATCTGGAGCTTGGGAAGTTTCATTTTTTTTTAACAGGAAAAATATGTGTACTTTTTCAGCTTAAAAGATCAGTAGAAAGAGAGCTGGATCAAGGGGGTGCGAGGAGAACATTTAAATTGGCGAAAGAACCCCACGGAAATTGTCAGCTCTTTTGATTTTAATCAAACTAACGCAAAATAGGAATACAAAGGGATGCAAAGGCTGAAATTAGGGACCAGGATCCTGGGAGGTCTCATCTCCCTCCGAGCCACCCCAAACGAGGGCCACATTTTCTCAGGGATCCTTGGCACCGAGTAGCTCCTTTTCACAGGATATGCGGCCGCATTTTAAAAAGCACCCAGTCAATTTTTTATTTTTTTTTTTAACCTAATCACTTATAAACACCCATCTCAAAATGTCAAAAATCCATCCTGTCATGCCAGACACAACCGGGATGTTTTTCCATCCCTTTGAACAGCCCCTGCACCGATCCTCAGGCTTGTGGTCATGACTGCGGGAAATTGTGTTTGGTTTTTTGGTTTGATTTTTTTTTTTTTCCCCCCTGTGCTGCTATCTGTTCTGCAGGGAGGATGCTGAAACAAGAAAATGGGCCTGTTGGGTGGTTTCGTAGCCTAGTACTGAAATTGGACGAGCACTCACCATAGAAACCGTGGCGGTACGTGAGCCTGGGTGCTGCGGGGTGTTGAAGCGCAGCACAAAAGAGAGATGAGGAACCTACCCAAAGGTCTCCTTTGTGTCCGCCTGCAGCCTTTGTTTGACGGGGCGGGGACCAGGGCTGCGGGGTGGCACCTCTCTGGCAAAGGGGGTGACCCCCCCCCTGGTTCGGGATGCAGCAAAACTCCCGACATCACCTGAACTTCTCACATAGCCGAAATTTGCTAGGGACCTTTTTGCTTTCCTGGGCTGAGGATGGAGCCCAGCGACTTGGGAAAGACCGAGATCCCTGTGACCTGAAACAAAGTACTCAGGAAAATTTGATGGAAAGGGCTGTTTTCCTGCAGAAGGCATTGGTTTAAAACACACGGCAGTTCCCAATGCAATGGTGTTTCGTTTGTTGTGCATCGCCCAGCCCACCTGCCCGCCCTCTGCTCGAGTGTCTGAATTTGTGTCTGCCGTGGACTTTATGCAAGCCCTTCTCCCCTCCCGCTCCCCCTTTGCGCTTTCCTTTGCCGACGGACCAGGACTGATACCCGTTACCTGCCTCCCCGCGGCGTTGTGGGCCTCGGCGCCTATGCAATGCTTGAACTCTTGGGGTGAAAAATGCTGTATAAATGTTAAAGTATATTGTTAAAAATGTGAAAACATTTTTATTTGTTGTAAAATGATGTGTTTTAACATTATATTGATGTTAAAATACAAAATTCATCTTCCTAGCGGTCAGCATCTGGAGGGGCTTAGTTCTGGTGCAGATGTGTTTGTGCTTAGCACTTGCCTGTGCCTTGGTGCTGCGTCCCCCACGGCCCCATTCCCATTCCCCTGACACTCTCCAAAAAGCCCAGACTTTGGCGATCGGCTCCAAAAGGAGAAAATGGACGTGTCTGGTGAGGAGAAGGTGTCGGTAGGGCAGGAGGTGGCTGCTCTGCAAGGCTGCCTTCGCTGCCGGGCCAGGGCGCTTTCTGCCCGGGGAGGTGCCGCGGGGTCCAGCAGCCCGGTCTGTGGGTGTGCGGCTGCAGACCGCGAGCTGTGCTTTGAGTTTGGGTTTTTTTTTTTTCCTGTTGGCTTTTTTTTTTTTTAAACCTTATTAAAGAGCGTCAGGATGAAGAACTATCTTCCTTGGCTGCTCGCAAGAATTGACACCTTTTTGAGTTGTGACTCGGACACTTAAATACAGCCGTGGCTTTTTGTGGACACCAGAGCTTTGGCCGTGTCCTCTGGCAGATCTCATGCTCTGCAGCCGGTTTGCTTTGGCAAAAGCTGGGAATTCAAATATTGCAAGCAGGTGGTTTAGAGTTGGGTTAGTCCTCTGCATCGCAGCACCGGTGCTTTGAGCTTTGTCTTCTTCGCTGGCTGCAGACCCCTCTACCCCGTCCACCCCATTCTCCTGCAAACCCAGCATCGTTCCTGTTTAAGGAAAGGCGCACAGGCAAACCTGCCGTGTCTGAGCACAGGTGAGTGTCCTCTCTTGGGTTTACAGCAGGCTTATTTCAATTTTCTGTAGGGTTTAAGCTAAAACCACTTTCAAAGCAAAAATTAGTGCCCCTGCTAATTGGCACGCCAGCACACCCTGGCTGTTCCCACCGCGTGGTGAGGGCACGGCGACTCCTCCAGCACGGATCCTTCCCGTGGGAGAGGTGCTGCTTTGTACCGGGACGTGGCCAGTGGGGTCAGGGTTGCTCCGACCCACGGCACTGCCCCGTGCGTGGCTTTTCCCGCGGTCGGGTCCAGGGATGCCAGCGTGCCGCTGTGTCTCTGCCTTGGTGCCGCGAGACTGGTCGGGCCTTAGCATCCTAAACCAGGAAGAATTTCACAAAGCTCTAGAAACCCAATTTTGGGAGATAAATAATAGTTGGGATTTTTTTCCCCCCCTTTCTCATTAATACAAACAAACAAAACCCCTGCATTGCAGCAATTGCTGAATCGCCTGTAACACAGTCCTGGTGATTAATCACTCCTCTGGTGAAACAGTGAGCAACTGGAACTGAAAAGGACGGGGGTTTTTGTTAGACTACGCTTCACTTTGGCTTTTTTGTTTCATTTCATTTACAACTTGAAACGTTTCCTGATGGCATCGCTGCGAGCCTGGTGCTGGGAGGAAGGCTCCGCTCCCGAAGGCAATGGAGCTCCCGGAGGTGCCGGCACCGCTGGAGATAACGTCCCTGCTGTCACCTCCTGCCGGGGCCTGGGGGGTCTCTGGGTTTTTTCCTGCTCTTTGCCACATGCCGTTAGATTTGCAGAGCGTTTGCTGTTTGTGGTTATCGCAGATCTCTGCGTCTTGCAATCAGCTGCCTGGGGAACCCATCTGGACAGTCGTTAGCGATGGGAGGAATTAGTGGTGCCCTTTGTATCTGCTCGTCCAACATGCAGCCTTTTTTTTTTTACTTTTTTTTTTTAAGTAATTGCTATTTTCATTGTTTTCAGCACAATTCTAGTGCTGTGAAGAAGATGATCCGAGGGGCAGAGCACTGTCCCTCCTGTACCCCATAACCTTCCCCGCCCCCCTGCCAAGAATTGGCATTTTTCTTCTTTTTGGTCTGGCAGCCCCATCTCGGCGCCATCGGCTCGGCCTGTCCATCAGCACCGATAAGTAACAGTCCCGTGGGGAAAAAAGTAAATGGTGATCCTGTCGTCCAGGCCTGCGGTATATTCTGGAAGCGTAAGGGAGCTGAACCGGGAGTAGCAGCGTTACGTGTTTCCTAACCTTGCTGGTCATTGCAAGCTAAATAGAAAAGTGTTTTCCCATTGGAGCTGTGGTTATTGTGATTTTCTAGTGGTTTATTAGATGAGGACTTGTACGGCAGAGAGAAAAGCACCAGGGAGGCACATGTTGCTTCTGCTCATCCTTTGCCGTATTTGACAGAAAACGCGGGCTCCGGGGTCGGTGTCTGACCGCAGACACAGCCGTGCTCTGCCGGTGCTGGAAGAGTCCCCGTGGGGAGCTCTCGGAGAGGGGGCAGAGATGCGGTTAGGTCTCTTTCAACGTGCAGGTAGGGGGGAAAAGTCTTTTAACGATGAGCAGGGTAAGTCTGATGCAGGGTTAAAGACTTACTGATGTTAAGGACTTGTGATACAATATTTATATCCTCTATAACTGAATAAACAAAGCAGGTCTTCAGCCACGGTCAGGAAACTTGTGCTTTCCCTGTCCTGCTCCCACCAAGGCCATTGCTGTGCTGCCGTGGCGGAGAGGCCTGAAGAGGAGCTCACGGGCATGAAAGTGTGGTTTTTTTTCCACCTCGTCCGCTGGTTTGATGGATATTCCCTGTCCCTCCAAACCCTGCGTGGTGACTGTGATTTCACTTTCCTCCAAAGCAACTGGTCTCCTCCCGGGGACTCGGATGACGTTGCTGTCCCTCCGTGCTGCCGGGGCTGTTTGTGCTGCGCAGGGACCCCCGGCGCAGAGCCGTGACGCCGGGGGGTCGCTTCGCTGCTGCAGCAGCAGTTCAATTTGCCACGTCTCATTCATTTCTCTCTTCACTTTTTCTTTCCCTGCAGAACACAAGTGCCCGGTGGACCAGAGGGAGCAGTTAGAAGAAACCCTGCCTCTAATTTTGGGCCTGATACTGGGGCTGGTTATCGTGATAACCCTCTGCGTTTACCATATCCACCACAAGCTGACGGCCAACCAAGTGCAAATCCCTCGGGACAGATCTCAGTACAAACACATGGGATAGGGGACAGGATCGAGCAGCCCAAATACTGATCAGGTAGAAAAAGCAAAAGCACTTTTTTCTACGGGTGAGGAAAGGTGATGGGGGGGGGCAAGAGACGGTATTCACAACACCTAATTGTGCGCATTTCACGGGGACACACGAGCTAAGGTTAGGCTTTAACGTAGTCAGTGCCGAGATGCAGCGGTCTCCGTAAGAAGGCTTAGAGCATCTCATTGTAGGAGTCTGGCTGGCAGTAGGTGGTATGAATACCTTCTTAAGCAGCTGGGCTGATCATCTGGAAACAGAAATGCTTCACATGTCACAGTCTAACACTGAGGGCAAAATTAGCTTTTTTCTTTTCTTTTTTTTTTCTTTTTCCCCTCTCAAGACCCTTACCGCCCCAACGTGCCGCTCTTGGCAGCGTTCAGCCCTCTCCGTTCCTGCCCATGCAGGGAGCAGGGCTGGGGGACGGAGCCACTGCACAGACTTCATTAGTGTCCTCTAATGAGGGGACTCAAACCACAGGCCTGAAGTTTGCATTCATGTTAAGGAAAGGATGAAGGCAATACAGGTGTGTTTTGGAAAAAAAAAATTAATAATAAAAAATTGCCACGACCTCAAACTGGTAGAAACTGGAGTAACTCCAGTGGAGCAGATCGCAGCCAGCTGAGGAGCTGACCCCACGCTTGAGGCTGAGTGAAGAAAGTTTGTTTTTGCTTCTTGAGCCACATCTGAACTAGAGTTAAAAAGAAAAAATAAATAAAAAAAAGAGAGTACTGATACACAAATTATAAAGTGCCATGCTACTGCAAATCAACAGAGAAATGCTTCTGGCTGGGCATCCTGCACGTATTGTGATTGTTGTTGAGATGTTACATTGCTACCTGCAACTGATATTTTCGCAATGAAACAAAAAAGAAAAAAAAAGAAGAAACCTGAAATGTTAAGGTTACTATGCAGATTATTCAGGTATAATCTAATGTAACAGGAAAAAAAATATAAGGGAACCCTTGAAATCTATCCTTAAATGTAGACGATTTTTAAAATTAATTAAAACATGTACATATATAATACTTGATTTGCCTTCTTATTTTGAAATGATGTGATGCTTTTTACGAACTCCGTGATATCTAATGGAATCGGTGCAAAAACACCCAAATGGATGTTAAACGTAGGATTTCTTCTAGCAGTATTTTTGGTGCAAATGGTTTGGTGAAGACATGGTGGTGGCTCAGTATTCTGTGATCTGTTGGTTATTTCTAATATTCTTCTAATCTCTCGGCTGTTTGTTTCTCAGATGTTTTGTGGGCGGTGGCACGTTTCACTCCGGTCCCGTTCAGTTCCCACTGAAGCCTCTGACTTCCCTGGGCTCCGGTGTCACCGCAGCAGGAGTTAGTCCAGACCTCGTGTTAGTTTAGGGTATGGAAAATACCTTCTTGTTCTTGTACTGGTTTGATCCAAACAGGGACTCATACAGACTGTCCTCTTTCGGCTTAAAACAGGGGAATAAGCAAAGGAAAACAGTAATTTCAACGTTGAGAAGTGCAGGGGGAGAAACTTAAGTGCTTTCTAATGCTGCAGCCTCCTCCAAAATTAATGGGGCTTTTTTTTGATGAAGGTGAATGCAGCAAGAGCCTTCCTTTAGTCCTGTCTTATTCCTGGTCTCATTTCTATGTTATGCCCAGCTTTTAGTTTTCTCATTTGGATGTACGAAGCAAAATTACGGTGCTAATGATGCTTGTGGCTTTACCCTTTCCTTTTAAAACTCCAGTGAAAGTGTTCTGGGTGGGCTTTAGGCTGACCAAGTGCCACTGCCTACAATGAGCTGATTATTGTTTTTTAAAAAAAAAACCAAACAAGAAAAAGGTTCTTTTAGAGGCAGCCAGAAAAAGCCATAGGTAGCAGGAGGGTGAATAAAAGGATTAAAGGTTCATTCTTAATAGAGAGAGGCCACAGTTATCAGCTTTGTTCTGCCTTGCTCTTGTCTGCCCTCCAGCCAGAAAGGCTCTCCCAGCCAGCAGCTCCCATCAGCCTGGAACATCTGCTCCTGTATTTGACATCCAAAAAAATAATAATTAAAAAAAAACTTAAAAAAGGAAGCAAACAGCTGAACTGCAGATGCCAAAGGAGCCCCTCCGTTGTCATTTGTCTTCCGAATAGCGCGTTTTGGCAAGGCGGCTGCAGGAAGGAGCCGTTGGGATGGCACGGGTGTGCGGTGAGCAGCGGTGGGGCGGGACACGGTGGCGGGATGGGGATGGGAATTGCACCGGACTGGAGACATCCCCCATCGGTAAGGGGCCGGTCCCCACCCGGCCGGTTTCCTCCCACGGAGCTGCAAGTCTCTGCTGTCAGTAGGGGCCACTTCTGCTGGGTCAGCCGAGCGTAACGAGAGGGAAGAGTTGGGACGTTGTCTGTGAAAAATGGGGGAAGAGAAGGACTTTGTGCCTGGAAACAAGGAAGAGGATCCTGGTTTTCCCCTGTGCCATCTGTTTCTCTAGGGGACCCCATTAGGGCTTTTTTTTCCTCCCTCTTCACATTCCTCAGCACATGTCTCTTTTTTTTTTTTTTCCTTTTCTCCTCTCCCCCCTTGCAAAACTGGAGTGAGTTGCATATCCACTTGGATATCAAAACTGTACGTGGGTGACATAAAAAAGAGATTCTTCCCTTTCACTTGCCTTAAGTAGAAACTTTGCAGAGGTAAGGAAATGCACATCGCACCATTTTTATCAGTGTTTTTGGTGTCTGATGGCCCTCCCAAATTTTTAACCCAATGAAGGGATGACCGCACCAGTAGCGGACTTTCACGTCCCGGCTGCTTTCCATGGCCCCTGGGTGCATCCAGCCTTGTACTGCGGCCAGGGCATAGCCGGCGGCAGAGGCAGAGCAGATGCAAAGTGTTCCGAAAATACAACCAAGCAAAGTCTTTGTGCTCCTTCCTCTTGGCCTCCTGCTTTGGCCTCCTGTGATGGCTCCTCACACAAGCCATCGGTGGCAATCCCACGTGCACTATAGCTTCTTGTATCCCGCAGAAATCGTACTTAATTTGCAGAGTGGGTTTGGAGGCAGGAAGGATCATCCATAGCTGGCGAGGGGTTGACAGATACTTCTCGACGCTGGAGCAGGAGGTGGGAAACCCACTGCTCTGCACCCCTGCAGTGTTTGACGGGCTACGTTTAACCGTTCTTAGCCTCCCTCGGAAGCTACAGTTCAGGGTTTACATGGAGCCGTTTGAAGGCAATGAAACCTGGGGCTTGGCTTCGTGTCGCTCTTAGGAGAGGCAGAGGCTGCTGGATGGAGCTGCTGGCTGAACGTTATGTGCGGGCCGGTTTTTGGAGCAGTTGGGTGTGTGTTGTGTCTTGTTTGAGTAAAGCTGCTGGTGGGTTTAAGCCCCTTGTAGGTCATGTTGTTGCTTCCCTATTTGCAGAAAGTGAGCGAGACCCTCCTGGTGTAACAGGGAGATGCTCTCTCACACCTACGTGTATTTGAGGTGGGAAAAATGCTACTTTATCGTTGACTTTGCAAACTAATTTTAATTCAACCTGCAGTGACCCTGTAAGGGCAGTCACAGCAGAGCCGCCCAAGGAGAACATTGTCTTCATCGCTCATAGGAAACGGTCTTTGACTGATCCTGCTGCTTGAGCGTTGGCCAATGCGTTGAAGTGGTGGCATCGGCCATCTGACGAGAGGACAACCCCAAAAGCTGATGCAGCTCTTGCGCCCCTCTGCCCGTAGACCTTCAGAGCTTTTGCTGCTTTTCATGTCAGATGATGGAGGTTTCGCTTAGGTAGCACTCAGCATCACCTTCAGGTTGAAAGTGTCTGTAAGCTATCGGGAACAGAGTGGCATGAATACAGTAAAACTCATTTATTGGTTTTCTGAGTTAAGACAGAAAATAATTTCTCATTGGACTGAAATGTTTTTCCTCTCTTTTTTGGGGAAGAAAGGAAATAGAAGCAATTTGCATTGTGCCCCAGACTGATCTAGCTTGTTTAAAGAAAAATTTATTTTAAGATGTTGAAAGAAACCCCTTTGAATCTTTTAATTCTTTCCATCCTTTGGCTAACAATTGTTTACTGAATTTGATGTGAATTTTCAATCAATTTAAGCTTTCCAAGCCTATTTTTGAAAAGTTATTTATGAAAGAGGTTAAAAAAACCTGTGCAACTTCCCTCCTGCCCATCGAACTACAGCAGCATCTTGAGGATGACAACACTTTTATTGTGATTTGATTTTATATTTAACTTGCATTCATCGATGGCTTATTATGAGCTAGCTGCAAACTTGAGCACGTTGCTTTATAGATGTTTATGAACACACTAGTAGCAAGGGGATAAATATAACAAACTTACCACCCTACTGAGCTCTATAAGGACCTGTAATAATTAAGCATTTACTAAAGCAGCTGTTGATGACTTACAAAGTACTTATGATTAGAACTTTAATTATAAATTATTGATGTATTGCTGAGGAGGGGAGTTACGTAGCCAGTAAATGCCTCGGCCTCCGCTACTAAAATTATGAGTATTTGCGAATACTTGTAGAACTGGCGACCTCAGAAAAAGCCATCGTCCCTTAGTGACAGGCGGGAGTAACTGCATTGGAGTAACTGGCCGTACGCAGAGCTCAGCCGCAGCCGGTGCAGCAGATGAAGATGTCTTCTGAGTGAATGGATGCTCCCAACAACCTGGCATCTAAAAAGCTAAAAGTAAAGAGTGTATTTTTTTTGCCGAGACACCCAACAAGGTTAAGACTGCGCAGCCCACGTGGCGATAGTGGAGGAAACGGCTTCTGCAGCGTGGACACGGCAGGCGGCAGGGTAAGGGCTGGAGAGCCATCGGGTTGTAGGGGATGAGACCTGGGAAGGTCCTACAGAGGTGACCCAAGGAACAAATTTGCAGAGAGGGGGATGAACACGGCTCAGTCAACTGGGTAGCCCAAGGTAACAGGCCATCGTTATTCCCTGTGTTTTTGCCTGGCTCTGGCTTTATTTCAAGTGCTGTGGGTGAAACAGCCAAAGTTAA